CTATTTGATTCTAATTAAACTTTTTTATAACTATATAAAATACATATATATATTTCATATCTTTTATATGTGATATACATATGTTATACAGAGTTGTGGTACACCACTCAAACTTGAAAACTAATCCAATAATTTAAAATTTTTTCTAGTCAAGTCAATTTTATAAAATTACAAGTCGAGTAAAGTGTTTTCTGTTCGAGTCGAACAGATTGATTTTTCGAGTCAAGTCGAATTTTGCTCACTCCTATGCATAAGGGTTTTAGGCCTTAATGCTAGAAAAGAGGGAATTTACTTGGTTTCTCTCATTATGGTAACAATGTTAATGGAAAATCATGCTTTATAAGTCGTATTGATATGCATGGCTTTTGTAATTTTCTTTTCGTCACTGAATTTTTGTTCATCTGACATGTTTTCGAAACATTTAGTTATAATTTCCTGCAGGAAATTTGGTTTGGTCAATGCAGAATTATGAAGACTTAAATTTCTTTCATCATTTGTTATTTCTCTTAACCCTATAATAGTATATTTTTAACCCTTAATTGCTTGTCCCATGGGATTATCTATGAATGCATTTTGGAAGTACGCCACAAGTACATTGTGTTTAGGGGTGTAAACTAACATAGAGTTCAACGAACCATTCGTTTATCTTTATTAAGTTAAATAAATGGGTATGAACAAAATTTTGATGTTCATTTAATAAACGAACGAACACGAAGAAATGTATGTTTGGTTTGTTTATGTTGACGAACAAGCTCATTTTTGTTTATCGACTCTTTTATAAGCTTGTTTACTCGGTTTTCCTTTTCCTTTTATTTTTTAACATTTTAAACATTGGTGAAGGTTTGGACTAAATTGAACATAAAGTGAACTTTAGAGTTTAAATTGTGTAGCCTAAGGAACTTAAGGATTAGTGGTATAATTTTACCATTTTTCTTTGACTTGCAAATAAAAAGGAGTGTAGGTTGCTGAACATTAAACAAACGTTAAACTAACAAACACGAACACCTTCAAAAATAAATAAACGAACACAGTACTAAAATTTTAAATGAACATGAACCGAATTTGAACACCTTTAAAAATAAATAAACAAACACAAACACAACTTAATTCGTTCAAATTTGGTTTATTTATGTCCCTAATTGTGTTTTACCTTTTTCTGTAGAGACGTTACTCCTTATTCATGCATGCAAACCAACTTGTCATGTTAAATGTTGTATTGGTTCCGATAGATAGGAGTTTTTACATCTTTGGATTTGTGGTTTTGCCAAATTTGCGTTGTTGTAATTTTATAGAACTACTGCAGCGCCAATGAGGAGGCTGATGACTTTCTTGTCTGATAATTGACAGGTCTCGTAGGAAGAGTATCGAATTCCGTTATATTTTAATTGAATTAGTTTACTAAAGCAATCATTAGCTCTTTTTGTTTCCAAAACACATTCAACCAGCCCCAGTCTGGATTTTTTTGGTGATGGACTGCAACAAAGAGGAGGCCATCCAGGCCAAAAACATTGCGGAGAAGAAGATGCAGAATCGAGATTTTTCTGGGGCTCTTAAAGTTGCGATCAAGGCTAAACATCTTTGCCAGGACCTGGAGAATATTTCTCAGATGATAATGGTGTGTGACGTTCATTGTGCTGCTGAGAGACATTTCTTTGGTAACGACAAGGATTGGTATGCCATACTGAAGCTGGAGCAGACAGCTGATGAAGCTATGATAAAGAAGCAGTATAGAAAATTTGCCCTCCAGCTTCACCCAGATAAGAATAAATTTCCGGGGGCGGAAGCAGCTTTTAAGTTGATTGGGGATGCTCAGAGGACACTTTTGGATCCAGGCAAAAGATCTGCATATGACATGAAACGCAAAGCAACTGTTAATAGACCGGCTCCGGCAGCAGCATTTCGCCCCCCGCAGTATCCGAGTTGGCACCCCCACACAGCTGCTCAGAATAATATCCCCAATTTTTCTGGATTGAATTCTCAACAACAGCGACAACCGCCAACTCAAGCAGGGTTTTCCAATGGTCAGAGCACTTTTTGGACCAAGTGTCCGTACTGTACGGTTAGGTACCAGTACTATACAGAAGTACTTCACAGATCTATTCGTTGTCAAACTTGCAAAAAGAACTTTGTTGCCTATGATTCAGGTGCAGGTTCACAGGCAGCTAATATGAATCAATCGAATTTTCCTCGACAAGGAGTTGCCCAGAATCAGAGTGCTGGCAGAGCGGATCAAGGATCTCAAAAGAAATTCACTACTGAAAATGTTTTTACAGCTTTTACACCGAAGGCAGCTAGCACTTCAGATGCATGGACTGAAAAAGTGAATGGTAAGAGAGGAAGGAAGCAAACTGTTGAATCCAGTGAAAGCTGTGACAGTGAAAGCAGCATCGAGTCAGAGGAGGATGTGGTGGTTGATGGCGATGGTGAAGCTTTGTCTGGAAAGAAGGTTGGTTCTCAAGTACCGCAGAATGTGCGGAGATCTGGGAGGCATAAGCAGCATGTTTCTTACAAGGAAAATTTAAGTGATGATGAGGACACAGTTAATCCCACAAAAAAACCTAAGGGAAGTGGATCACAATGTGCCACTGAAGAAATGGATGACGAAGACAAGCCTGTAAACAAAAATCAAGTGAAAGAAGATAAGGAGATGGACGACGGAAATGGTAAGCATTTTGAGGCGAGCTTACCCAATGGTAAGAATACTAGGGAAGCTTCTGCTGATGGTATCAAGGGAAATTCAAACCCTGCTGTTGTTGATTCTGTTTCGTATTCAAGTTTTGAAGAAACAAAAGAGCCCGGGGTTTTTGATTACCCTGATCCTGAGTTTAATGACTTTGACAAAGAGAAGAAAGAAGAGTGTTTTAAAGTAGGTCAGATTTGGGCTTTGTATGATACACCAGATGCCATGCCTAGATTCTATGCTCGGATCAGAAGAGTCCTCTCATCTGGGTTCAAGCTGAGGATAACGTGGCTAGAACCTGATCCAGATGATGAGGATGAAATACAATGGGTCAGTGAAGGTTTACCCGCTTCTTGTGGTAACTTCAAATATGGAGGGTCTGAAAACGTTGAAGATCGTCTTATGTTTTCCCATTTGATGTATTGGGAAAAAGGAACATCTAGAGATACGTATAAGATATTTCCAAGACAAGGAGAAACCTGGGCCCTTTTTAAGAACTGGAATATCAAATGGAAGTCTGGTGCCCAGAAACACGAGTATGAAATTGTTGAGATCTTATCAGATGATGCTGAAGGTGTAGGAATACAGGTTTCTTACTTGACTAAGGTCAAAGGGTTTGTTAGTGTCTTCTCGCCCATGAATAAGGATGCATTTCTAATTCCACCCCGGGAACTATTCAGGTTTTCACACAGGGTTCCATCCTTCGCACTGACCGGTAAAGAGAGGCAAGGGGTGCCAAAAGGTTCATTTGAACTCGAACCTGTTTCTTTACCTGAAGAATTTTTTGTTTCCAAGGACATGAAGGAGGAAGGTGGTAATGGCAGAAATCCTAGTGGTTCATGTCCAGGAGTTCCAGAAACGGTAAATCCAGTGGTGGGATCGAATAATTCTGTTCCTCCAGCTTCGGGTTTTGAAATTCCAGAATCAGAATTCCACAATTTTGATACTGAAAAACCCAAGGAAAAGTTTCGCGTCGGTCAGATATGGGCACTGTATGGTGATGAGGATGGCATGCCAAAGTACTACGGCGAGATCAAGAAAATCAACACCCACCCAGTTTTCAAAATACATTTGAGATGGCTTTTTCGTAGCCCATCAGAAACCACGGCCGGGTGGTCTGATCCGGACATGCCAACTTCTTGTGGGAGATTTAGAATTGGAAATGGTTCCCAGACCTACACCTCCACTGATTCCTTTTCTCATTTGTTAAAAGCCGGGCCTACTGGTTCGAAGGCGGAGTTTACCATTGTACCTAGAAGATGCGAAATCTGGGCCTTGTACCAGAACTGGAGTCGAGACATCAAATGCTCCGACTTAGAGAACTGGGAATATGACATAGTGCAGGTTTTGGAGGAAAATTATTCTCTCTTCAAGGTTTTACTTTTAGACAAAGTCGACGGCTTCAATTCGGTTTTCAAGCCCCAGGTAAAAGGAGGAAAGACTGTTACACTCGAAATCCCTCGAGCCGATCAGCCTCGGTTCTCTCATCAGATTCCATATTTCCAGCTAACCCATGAGAGAAATGGCAACCTAAGAGGATGTTGGGAACTTGATCCTGCAGCATTGCCACCACATTATTTTTCTTCCTAGAGTAGCAAGATTATTAAATGCCTTCTTTACTTCACATTATGTGTACATTACATGATCGGTCAGTGGCTTTAAAAAACAGGGCTCTTGGTTAAAGTCTCAACTATTGTAGGTGTAACTGGGTGCTTATGTGCTCTCAAGCTTGTTGAATCATATGTTCTGATGTAAAACAATTGTAACATCATTATGATTTTCAGGAGTTAATGTATTTCTTAGTCGTTGCTGATTAGGTACATATTTTTCGTTAATTAATTATTAAATATAATAATTAATTATTAAATATAATAATTAATATTAAAATTGTTTTAACTTATAATTTAAGTTAGTTGATTTAATAGACTTTTTAAATTTAATCAATTTATTTAATTAATTAATTTTATAATCATCATCGATTTCGTTTAACTAATAATTATAAATATTAATAATTGATTTATTAATATTAGAATTTAAGTTAGTTTTTTTAATAAATTTAATTTAATTTATTTAATTAATTAATTTTTATAATCATCATCGATTTAACTGAAACTAAACTAATCGAATCATAAGTAAAATGGGTCTAATGGATTTGTACTTTCCTCTATAAACTTTGATAAATTTATTTTCTTTTCGTAAAATATTTTTCTTTCGATTTGTAAATTCTGTCATCTTTCTAGAAAAGGGATTTTACATTTTTTTAATAGGTGAAATTTGAAAACCCTTTTTTCCCCTTCCCTTTTTGTTTACAATTTCAGGCTCTACACCACGGATCCCAGTCCCACGCACTCATCAATACATTTTGCATCGCCGATAAGGGCTCAATTGTAGCCGTCGGCATCTAACGAGACGACGGCACCGATTGGACGGCAACTTCAATATTCAATTCCTGGCTTCCGAGCTGTCTCCTGTTTCATCCTCTTCCTCAAGCCACTCAAGGTCACTTGAATTCAAATTTATTTATTTTTTTGTTTTGTTTTGTAGTTTTATGTCTGTTTTAATAGTTTAATTTCTGTTCTTAGTACAATTTAGCATGATCAGAATTTAGTTCCTTTGTTAATTTGAACTCCTAACTAAGCACAAGTATTTAATTGCAGCTAAAAGGAAAATGGCAATAAAGTTTCTTGATTGGTATTTGAAGATTGCAGCTGGGTCGGCTCTAATTGGAGGTTCCATGGAGTTATTCATGATCAAGACTGGTTTCTGTGTGAGAACTCTCCATATTTTTCTCCCTTTCATTTATCTAAACTGATTTCATTTCAGTAATTTATGATTTTATTCTCCAAACCCTAAAAAGTGTAGTCTTTGATTTTCCCTTTCTTTGGTTGCCTTTTAACTTGATATCTCTAAATTTCATAAGATATTAGCTATGTTACCAAGACTTAGCCAAGAGATGTGTGTCCAATACGAGCATGTGTCCAGCATGGATATGTTCAAGTCTTTTTTTTTCCCGAAGTTTTTCATATGTTTTGAGATTTGTATTCCCATACGTATATGGTACTTAAAAGAAAAATGATGAGTCTAAGCAAATTAGTATATTAGTACCATATTCTTCTTGTTAATTGCTGGATTTTTATTTGAGTTATTTTGATTGTCTCGGTTCTTAATGTTATCCAAATGATACTTTTGAACATTTTCAGACTCTCATTGTAATGTATGGTTAGTTTTAAATTCTAGGTCGTATAAATGGACTTCAAAGCCTGGTGTTTCCACACGTTCTTAGACGCGGATCTAATATTCTTATGTCTATGTGCTTAGTTTCAGTCTTTAATAATTTTAGCGTCTTACTGCTAATTAGTCTATGACTGTGTGATTAGTGACAAGCATTAGTGAGTGTTAATCTCAATGGATGCTTAATGACGGGTTGAAAATGATTTGGTTCGAACTGTTAGCTGAGTCCCTTGGTAAATGTAAAGGAAGATGATAATGATATCTAACTGTTTAAAGGAAATGGTTGTATTTACAATTTCGTATGTTCGTCAAGTCACATAGTCGTGTTATGGCATGTTTTTCAAGTCACATTGTTGTCTAACTCTTGACTGAACCTTTACCTTTCTTATGTTGTAGATGACAAGGTAACTGTTCTGGAGTCGGAGAAGCGAGCTTGGGAGAATTCCCCTGAAGCTCAAGCAATGAGAGAAGAATTGAATCCTTGGAGAAATCATGATGCACAAGAAAGAAAGAGTTCCTAGTGGAGCCACATGGAGGAACGGGTTTTCGATGTTGTTTGATTTGTTTTGAATAATAGATGTCCGAAGCACGAAGCTTGGGATACAACTTCATACGTTTACCGGCATCGAGATCTATCCGATCCTCCCGAGCTTTTATACCCGTCTTTTAGGTGAGTTTTATTTATTTATAGGCCAAATTTCAGAATGAATAGTCGTGAAAGCTTGATTTATGTGCCACTTTCTTCAACTTTGTGGCCGTGATCATCATCCTAGAGATACCAGTTCTTGACTCGTATTCACATCAGATAAAATATAAGAATCCGAAATTCGTAGAAGTCTCGAGCATGAATGGCAACAGGAAGGTTGTAGAATGTAGCATAATCAGGGACCATTTGATTTACATTGTAAATAGTAAAATTTAACATTTATTAAGCTATTTTAGGATTATAAAATGATCATTAACTTTTTAAAATTATTATAAAATGATCATTAAATTTTATCGAAACGTGATAAAATGACCATTAAATTTACCAGACATGTAGCCATTTTAAGCTAATTTCAACACTAATGGCATTAAGGATTTTTCCCTCAAGCTGCAGTTAGCCTACGCCAACTCCAAATTCCAACTAATGACACCCCTCTTGACTAGTGATGGTATTCGGTTTCGATCCGATCTGATATGATTAGATTAAAAAAAACTCGGGGTCGGATCGAATTAAGATGGAGGATGAAAAAATTCCGACCCGACTTGAGGATAATAATATAAGTTCTTACTGTTCCATCAAATAATTTCTCATTATGTTCACGTTATTTGGTCTTATTGATCAATCATTATAATGCAGTCGGTGCTTCAAGATCTGTTCCAATATTTTCTTTATCGTCTTTTACTCCTTTCGAATATTCTCTACACAAAAGGATTATGATGTAATGGATAATTTAAATTATATTATTCTGAAAAGTCATAAATAATGGTTAAATCTCAAATAAACATCAATTTTATTGGATAAATTTATCTTTTGGTCCCTGTACTTTAAGTTGGTGCAAAACCAATTCTTCATTGGTTTCATATCCCTTTTGAAAAAAATATTCTTTCTTTTTTATACTTAATTTGTAAAGGAGAACAAGAAGAGTATTTTATGTGCAATTTTTCACTTTAATGACACACTTTTATTGTGAGCTACTTTTTTTTTGTAATATATTATAAGTTGATATAAAATTAATTTCCTATTAAGTTCGTGTTTTTTGGACTATTTTGTTCCATTTTTTTTATATTTTATGAAACTGTAAAGAAAATTGAGAAGAACATTTTTTGAATTCTTAATAAAAAGATAACTTAAGTGACCAAAAAGTGTACAGATATGAAAAGAAAGAGGATCGTCTCAAGGATGTGAAGCATTTTAACGAGTCAAGCTCTGATATTAATAGTTGGGATTTTGCGGAAACTCGAATCGACAACCGAAGGGGTACTCAGGGAATATCAAATCTTGAAAAAGAGAGACATGTTCTGCTTCTTCTGAAGGGAATATCAGATCTGGGGATGTTGATCCATTCCGTTGTCACTCAGGGAAGTTGAATCGGGGCAGACTTGACTGCATAGAAATGATGTAATTTTAATTTTATATATTTACTGTGTCACGTTAGCAAATCGTTAAAGGTTTAACGGTCGTTAACCTTCAGCGACCATATCTTAATTAAAATAAAATAAAATTGACCAAATTTAACAAAAACGAAATGAAAGTTATCAAATCTTATGTTTTTTGAACTCGATGAGGAAAAGTTTATAAAGCTAGAACCCATTTCTATAGTTTACCCATTATTAGATCCTATAAATTGAAGATAAGACGAATAGGGACGAGAATCGGCGACTGGGGTAAACTTCTTGACTCAAAGTTTGTCATTTTGTTTTAAAAGGGACTTATTTGATTTTAGAATTTCGATTCTTGATTTCATCACGTTATACACTGAAGTTAGAGTTATTAGTTTAAGGGGAATTATTTTATATATGAACGGTGTAAAATTCAGACTCTGTAACTTGTTTACTTCAATCGTAAACTTTAAAAATAAAAATTATATTAAAGTTTTAGGGATGTAAAATTATAAAATTTTAAGAATACATAATTAGATCATCGATAAAAAATATAAAAAAATCTTAAATTATATAATAATTTAAAATTTTCAAGAATCCGATCGCCAGAGACGGAGCTAAAATTAAATATTGATGGGGGTCGAAATATTAGACTATTTAAGAAAAATATAAAGACTTATTAGATATTTAAACTCGAAATTCAGCATGAACAAACGACCTTAGTGATAAAGAAGATTGTTGTTATCTTTGAGGTCCTGAGGCGTATGTAGGAGTGTGAGCGTTCATTGTCAAATAGTTGAAAGTCTTTATACATATAGTACATTGTATTCACCTTAAATTTATAATAAAAAAAGTTAAAATTCACAAGACAACTTCTAATTTGTCTAATATTTAAATTTACAATGACCTAAATTGTAATTAGACTAAAAATTTGAGAACGCATACTTTCATTCTTTACTTCGACCGCTACTTAATTAAATATTTAATAAATTTTTATATTTTTTAAATTTAAATATTTAATAATTGTTTATACTTTTTAAATTTAAATATTTATTTTTACATAAATTAAAATATTATTAAATTAAAATTATATTGAATATATAAATTTAAACAGGGGCTGGAGGCCCTTGGCCTCTAAGTGTGTTCTGTTAGGGTGTTTGGCAAATAACTGATAGCTGATAGATGGTAACTGATTCTAATGATTGGTTTGACCAACTGATTTGATTAGTTGATTTGAGAAACTTATTTAATTAATTGTTTATGTAGAAGTGTTTGGTAAAATTTAGCTGATAGTTGATATGGGTAAAATGACAAATATGGGTATGGTACATTTAGTTGTTAAGTACATATATGTTTTATGATACTTTAGTCTTTATTGGGGTGAAATTATTCGGATAAATGCTTTTGACAAGGAATTAAAAATTCCTTAAGAAAATTAGTGATTATTTTTGAAAATTTTAAACATATTTTTTAAATTTAATATTTACAAATATTAACCTTGTGAGATTGATACATACTATTAACTTTATATAAAATATCAACACTACATTTTTTTACTTTCATTTTTGCTATATTTTCTTAACTAAAATATATTTGAGAATCTACAACTACAAAATTGAATAATAAAATAAAATTTCACTAAAATATATTAGGATGGAGGCTATTTTAATAGATTAAGTTTTATGGCAAGGATGTAATTATGAAAATAATAAGGTCAAATATGTAATTTAATATTTTATTTTACAATCAAATCTCCCAAACTGTTGGATTTTTCAGCGTTTTCATTTGCAGTTTATTTTGCACAATAAACTCTTTTAAAAAGGTATTTACCAAACACTAAAAATGGAGGGTTTGACTACCAATTAGCTAAATGCTCTTCAAAAAGTTATTTACCAAACACCGCCATTATTTATTAAGTGATGTGGTGTATTTTTTTTATAACCGCTCATATTCGATTTATTAATCGATTAATATTAGGTGGTCTCAATGATTAAATCAAGAGTTGTTTTTCTTAGAGGTTATGAGTTCAAACAATTACATTTAAGAGTGTGCGTTGTTAACGACTAAGAAATTTTTTTAACATATACTAATATACCATCTTGTAATCACCCGAAAACTATTCAAAAAAAAATTCAATGCACCATTGTTACTTAGATTTAAATAAAAGGGCAAACTACTTATCTAGCCACTCTCTTATTTCTGTAGTTCCGTTTTGGTCATTTAATTATTTTTTAAAATCATACATAATGTTCTGTTTTGATTCTATTCTGATTATAGTTGAAAAATTAACGATGCTATCGATGTATATCATAAAGTAAATCCATATTATCATTAAAAAATTATACATGAACAATTTTATTTATTTTTTAACACGAATGATTAAAACTGAACTACAACAAAAGTTTGATTACCAAATCAAGTTGCATGACAATTGCCCAATGAAGAATTGCGGCTCCAATGATTAACGGTAATTATGGTATGAAGCTTGTACAGTCAATACTCTATCAAACCACGTCAGTGACAGCTTCGTATCCGCAAAGAAATACAGCTCTTCGCTCATCTGCTAATGGCGGCCTAATCTCCAATAATACACAACCCGACAATTCAATTATTATTCCCATCCACGATGAAATTCGGTCAATCAAGGAATCCACGATAAAAATATCTACGCGTCCAAAAAAGGTGAAGAAAATCTTGGTGGTGATGTGTATATAAAGCTCGTGTATTAGACATTTGGTTTCCACCGACACCATCTGTTTGAAGTTTGGTTTGTGGGTCTGGGGTGGTGTTGAAAACACTAGAGAGATGACAATTGGGCAGTTTAAAGATGTTGAAAGCGGTGAAATCAAAGGGCTTGAAGATTTGGAGACGCCGTTGATTGTTGTTGTTGAAGAAGATGAGAAGGTTGTTGTTGTTGGTGTTCATGGGAATGGTAAAAGTGTTGGTGACGAAAATGGGTCCATTTGGATGGTTTTGCTCTGCACGTTTGTTGCTGTTTGTGGCTCATTTGAATTTGGATCTTGTGTAAGTTCTTTTGCTTTGAAATTTCATTTTTTTTTTGTTGTTTGCTTGTTCAGATCAAATTTTCCATGTTTGAGGAATTCCCATTTTTAAACAAAGTTCATGTTGCTAAGATGTTTTCTTTTTCTTTTCTTCTTTGTGTTTTTGTTTATTTTTAGGAGCCAAAACTAGAAAACGTAAAAACAAAACCACATCCAAAAAAACCAGACCGAAAAGGTTTGTTTAGTTTAAGTTGTTCTTTTGGCAGGTGGGGTATTCAGCACCCACTCAATCTGCTATCAGGGAAGATCTTAATCTATCTCTAGCTGAGGTTAGCCTTCTATTTACTACAAACAATTTGCCATATACTTCCAATTTTCGGGTTTTATCGGTGGTATCTCGACCGTCACCGACTTTTATCGGATTTCTTTTTCCAGTTTTCAATGTTTGGTTCTATCTTAACCATTGCTGCAATGCTTGGGGCTGTCACTAGTGGTCGGATTGCAGACATGATTGGTCGAAAAGGGGTATGTTCTGTTTCGGAATTAAATTGGAATATGTATATTTCCAATGATAATTGTACTAAATTTCTGCAACTTCAATGGAATCAGGCAATGAGATTATCAGCTGGTTTTTGCATCACTGGATGGCTTGCTGTTTATTTCTCAAAGGTACACTTGGTGCTCTTCATCTCAGAGAATTTGGGATTTAAATTGGATAGAAAGTACTCAAATTTGCATGGATCCTATT